AGGGAATAGGGTGCCATTTGGGACGTGGCCTGTAAGCTCCACATCCACAAGCCATGGAGGAATAAACCTGGGAGGGAGGGGTGATGGAAGCTTATGTAATCAGACAGGATATGCATGTATCTATCTGGGCAGCTGGCAGAAGGCCATGGTTTCACACACAGGGCTGGGGCCAGGAGTCAGAGAGGAGAGAGGCTGACTGACAGCCCAGCCGTCAGTACTGACCTATGGGGAATTTCCCCAACACCTTTCTGATGCATTTCAGTCACTTCAAACCATACTTCCTTCAGCTTGAAATACTGTCCAAAGTACTGGTCAGACTGATTTGTAAGACTGTCATAGCCCCAATTTAAAAAAGTACACATTGCCTGTTGATTACGTCACTCTTTTACATGGGGAGGTCGCAGAAGTTATTTTATATCAAAATGGGGTCGCAGACCAAAACAGTTCAGGAACACCTGCTGTAGACAGTCAGCACCGTATAAGCTTCTTTATGCAATACACAGTACCTGCAACTTGCCATTAAAGCAGTAGACAGATGGTTAGTCTAAAAGGTGTCAATCAGCTCATATCTGAAACCATTATTAGTTTGTTCAGAAGCACTGTAAAAGAATTCAGCTAAAAGTCTCAATACAGTCCCTCACACTGAAGTATCAGCGAAGGTCCAGGCATAGCGGATATCAGACACATTATGATCCCAGATCTGACGGTCCCCATCAGTCAGAAACCACCATGAAGTAACACAACTCTCCAAGTGTCTCTCCACAGGAAAAGCAATGGCACCTCCTTGCCGGGGACAGTTTGGTAGTTGCCCGGGGCACAATCTGCTCTTGCACCGCCAACTGAAAACACCCTCATCCCATAGTATTAGTGCTGAGCGATCAGTGCTTTCTGAGGTCGTTTTGGATTCGGTTCCATTATTTAAAAAACAATCACGGTTGCAAATAGTCCTGATAGCCATGATTAGCTGTTCAGGAGTCTTATGGCTTGGGGGTAGAAGCTGTTAAGAAGCCTTTTGGACCTAGACTTGGTGCTCCGGGACCGCTTGCCGCGTGGTAGCAGTTGTGTATATTACATTTGATGACTATTATTTCATCCCAAGTCCTCATCTCATCTCTATAGAGCTGCTGCCTCTGCTATCTGACAAAATCACAATTTTAGTAGTTCTTCAAAGTAAATAAGGCCTACTTTTATGACTGCTGAATACCAACTATCAATCACTTAGATCATGTATTTTCAGGTAGATACCTCATGAAGCAACTGCTCTCTATGTATCCCCTCTTGATCGCGCATTCTTTTGTCTAGCATAGCAGGCATAAAATAAACAGACCGGACAAGTAGCCACGCAATGGATTATGGTTAGTGTAGTTAATTATCACGTTTTCTGCGCTAAACTATGTAGAATATTGGCCTACCACATCGCACAGTTCAGGCTTGATCCAATTGATCTCTAGAGAAACTGCACTCATAGAAAAAACCTGAACGAAATGGAATTCAAATAATTGAACCAACATGGGCCAATTAGTTGTTTAAAAAACGAAAAAGAACCGACATTTCCGTGAATCGCTCAGCACTACATAATAAACACACATACTATTTGGGGTAAGACTGTAGGCCACACACACACAACGGTTTGGACCAACTGTCACCAAGGATAAAAGGACTGGTTCAAAAGTATCACCTAACACGAGGATCTCACTGCGACAATGTTTGTTTGTTTCCTCACAGTGATCAAAAGAACTGTGAAACACCCATGAGAAGGCCATATTTCTCAACCATCTGTTTCTTTAATGATTCATCACACAAAACGCTGCCTCATCGGTGTTGGGTTGGTTTGCCTGTTTTCCTCCTCCACATCCCTGTGGAAACGCCACCGTATCACTGGTTGAGTCTTAAAATGGCACCCTATTCCCTATGTAGTGCACTTCTTTTGACCAGAGTACTTTGGGCCCTGGTCAAAAGTAGTGCACTATGTAGGGAATAGGGTGCCATTTGGGACGCACTACACTGTCAGTTTGTCTTCCACTTCCCTGTGTTACACTATTCTCAAAGGCTTTCTAAGTCACTGTCTTGTTGTGATTTAGGTCTGTTCAAGATGTTTCCTGAATGTATTATGTGAATTGTGAGATTTAATCTGCTGCCATGTTAAAAGGGACACTTCACTGTAGTCTACGTGAGGGCTGAAGCAACTCCAGGGCGTTTGTTTAAAGACAAGCTTTCTGGCTTGGCACAGGCAGGTCAGACCAAGAGTACAGTATTACCCTTAACAGTTATGCTCTGGGAAAACAAATAAGATCAGAATACCCAAAAGCATGACATCGCTAGGGCAAGGCATGTTCCCACATGAGTCTCTAGAAAGTGTATTTTTACCAGTGCAGCAGCATGCTAGCAATGTCATAATATAATGGGAGAGATGCATCGGCTTACTAGTATTACAACCAAAATAAAGGTCTGGGAAACGCCATCAGCAACAGGGGTGATAGTGTTCCCTACAGCCAGCCAAACGCCATCAGCAACAGGGGTGATAGTGTTCCCTACAGCCAGCCAAACGCCATCAGCAACAGGGGTGATAGTGTTCCCTACAGCCAGCCAAACGCCATCAGCAACAGGGGTGATAGTGTTCCCTACAGCCAGCCAAACGCCATCAGCAACAGGGGTGATAGTGTTCCCTACAGCCAGCCAAACGCCATCAGCAACAGGGGTGATAGTGTTCCCTACAGCCAGCCAAACACCATCAGCAACAGGGGTGATAGTGTTCCCTACAGCCAGCCAAACACCATCAGCAACAGGGGTGATAGTGTTCCCTACAGCCAGCCAAAACAGGAGCTGTTGCTGAGACTAATTTGTTTTGTTTCTGATGACAAACCTTAACAGTTGCCAAAGAATTAAGAGTAGGAAAAGTCACTGGGATTGTCTTGATGCATCAAATGACCTTGCTCCCCGAGAACTTAACCTAATACTGTATAAGTTAGACACATTTTAACACACATGTATGAATACCACCACTACAGCTTCCCTGCAGGTTAAAACTTAGACATAAGTAGTCATCTACACAGTGAACCAGCACAGCCTTGTTGACCAAACACCTGAAGCTCTGCAAGGACTTGAGGAATATACAGTTGTATTCTAAACCTACCCGATAAAGCAAGGCTTATTTTAAAGTGACCATTTGAAGTCAACATGCTGGCGAACTGTATGTCTCCTTCTGGTTTGGGTCTGAGTCAGAAAGCTCAACGTGTAGTAGTAATCTGAAGCCCCGTGGTCTAAATAGTACAGGGGGAAATGTCACTAGAGTTCAACAGCTAGGTTATTCTATACAGCCATGTTATGTCTGTGCTTAGGTAGGCTACAACTTTCTCACAGATGTCAAAAACATTATAAAGTCAATTACAATCTGAGATACATCTTAGTTAAATGCATATCAACATCTTAGTTAAATGCAGATAATTGACAAGGTTATCTTTGTATGTGCCTGTCAGTGTCAATGGGACAAGGCACAAGGACTCTTTTACCAGTCCCATCTATTGTGTGGTGGCCAAAACTAACTTACAATGTGACAGGGACATTTTTTACAGCCCATCTTGTTCTTGAAATGACAATGAAAAGTTAAGACTACTACAAATGGAACAAGGAATGCATTGAGACTGGTTGCGGAACAGTCGGAATGATCCTTAGGGTTCTAGAATGAGAATGGAGGCTGATACCGGCTGAATAATCTCACTATGAAAGGAGAGATCACAGTAGACAGACGCCCCCCTGGCCTTGCATCACTGCATCACTGCATAAACAAGGAAGCATCGTTTAATCATCACACACAGAGAGAGAGAAAGAGAGAGTTGTTTTTTTTGTTCTCACTTTTGTTTATTGTGTATTTCATTTGCTTTGGCACATGTTTCCAATGCCAATAAAGCCCCTTTTGAATTGAAAAGACAGAGAGACACAGACTAAAGGGACAGACAGAACTAGAACACCACCCATGTGGTTGCTAGGCTGAAACTATTTCATCAAAACACAGTTGACATTCCCAAAACAGTCAGTGAATACTTAATAATCAAAACAGCGAAAAACTTTTAGAGTACAAAGAAAATGTAAAATGTCCACACTACACTAAGTGTTAATACCTTCTTTCGTTACTTAACTTACACAGCCGTGCATTACTGTATCCACCTATGGAATAGTAGCGAGTGACTGGGACCTGGTGGCAGGTCGAGCGTTGGGCCAGTAACCGAAAGGTCGCTGGTTCAAATCCCAGAGCCGACTAAGTGACAAATCTGCCGATGTGCCCTTGAGCAAGGCACTAAAGTTAACCCTAAGTCACTCTGGATAAGAGCGTCTGCTAAATGACTAACATGTAAATCACATCTAAAGGATGGAATATACTTTGAAGTTTCACAGATAAATACATATCTCCCATTAGAAAATTAGAATCCAATTCATGATGAATGAGGTCCATTACTGTCGTGCTATAAAGAATGACACTATTGCTGGCATGAAGCACCATACTATGCCTGTACCAAGCAGTGCACTGGGTAAGTGAGCCTAAAAACAAATAATGAACATTACAGATTAAAGTTATTTCTGTCATGATACATTTAGAATCACATTCGCTTAAAATATTGTGTCACATCAATATGGAGTAGCCATCCATTTCCAACTGAAATCACTGACAAACTCAATGACAATACTGTATTTTCAACTAGTAAACTACAAAGACAAGCAAACCTACTTCGTCAAGAATGACTGATTTTCCAAAAGCCCATTCATTTTCAGAGTTTGTCATCCATGGCCTTCCTGTTTCAGACTCCTACACTCTCTGGAATACCACCCAAAGCTCAGTGTGAATTAAATAATACAGGTACCGTATATCACAAAAGAATGACTAAACTACAAAGATGCGCAAAATGACTTCACTATGACTGATGTTCATTCTACACTGTCAGGAATGCCACCCATAGCCCGTAGCTCAGTCAGTGGAAGTGTTTAAAAGCAAAAGGCCCAGGTTCTTACCTGTGGTGTTTCTTAGGGGGAGGGGGTGGTGGAGTGGGGTCATGGCTTGAACTCTTCCCCTCTGCGGAGAGCTGCTCCGTGCGTTCTCTGCTGGAGAGAGACGACGGAGTCGACTTGGTCAACATGCTCCCGTTATGTTTGCCCTCCTCCGCGCTGCCGCTGCTGCAGCTTGCCTGCTTCTGACTGGCACCATTGTTGGCTGCAGTGCCTGGCAGGGTGCTGCCCTGCTGGCCCTCGCTGCCCTGTGTCACCCCCGTGGGTCTCCAGTCACTGGCGTCCCTCCAGACAGCCGCCCTATTGATGAGCCCCGTCACCCTGCTCTGAGAGGCACTCTCCTGAGCATGGCCCTCCTCTGTCTCCCCCTCCTCCTCCTCCTCGATCCGGCCCTCCCAATTCCAGGCGGTGGTGTGGAGCTTGTGCCTCCGGGCATCAGACGAGGCTGAGCTGTGGGGCTCCATCTGGGGCTTCACCTGCACCTGGACGTCCCTGGAAGACGGTGAGAAAACCAGAGCCTGTATGCTGAGCTCAGGCAGAGGCACCGGGGAGAGGCTGGAGGTCCCCAGGTGCGGTTTTGGCGATCGGTTGTTCCTCTTGGGCGGTATAGGGGGGCTGTTCTGGGGTTTGGGCTGGAGGGAAGCAGGGAAGGATGGGGATGATGTCTCTGTTACAGAAGAGCTGGAGGGCCACTTGAAAGCTGGGCTGCCGGGGTTGCTGAGGGCCGTGGGGCTGAAGTAAGGCCACTGGGTGCTGACGGCCGAGTCCGGACTGCTCAGATAGAACGTCCGGTTGTTCTCCTCAGTATGAGCAGCCCGGACGGTTATCTTGGCCCTCTGGTTCTGACCCTCTTCTGTGAGCTCCACCTCCAGCTCTGAGTGCTGTTTTTGGGCCTGGGGCTTCCCGTTCCCTCCTCCAGCGCTCTGAGGCCTCCTCTTCCTCTTGGTGCTCTCAGCGTAGATGGGTTCTGACGACAGCGTATGTCCGTCTGAGGGAGAGGGACTATCTGGCCCCACCAGTCCGAAGCCGTCCGGCCCTGTGAGAGAGTCTGTGCTGCTGCGGTAGGAGCAAGAGTCTGACAGAGACAGAGTACCAGGCTCGGAGAGGAAGGAGCCACTTCTGCCTCCTCCACAGGACTGGAGGTTGTGCCCTAGAGGCCCTGGAGATGCCCCTGAGTCCAGAGTGGTTAAGGATGGGACGGGAGAAGTACTGGACTGGTTGGTGTTCCCAGACGTGATGCCCCCATTACTGGGGGCGGCTGTGGTGGTGATAAGACAGTTACTGATGCCGTTACCGGCTGTTGCCATGGCAATACCCAGAGGTGCTTTCACTTCCTGGACAGCCTGGACTGTGGAAGACCCTCTGGTGGTGGTCACCATGCCGACGCTGTTCCCGTTGCAAGTACTCTCTGTGGTTTTGGTAGTCTTGGTGATCTGTTGCCTATAGGACGAGTCACCTTTGCTATTCCCTTTCTCCTTCAGACTGTGAGGCCCTTGGCCGTGTCTGTCCTCCTGGGTCACTAAGACACTGCTGATGATCATACTAGAGTCCTTCTGGAGGGCCGACGGGGACAGAGAAGACCGGGGGCTGATAGGACCGGGGGAGAAACGGCTGCCGGGGTAGTCCATCTTCCCAGGGGTTGTAGTACTCTGTAGTACGGCCTCTCTCAGGGCCTTGTTACAACCGTTACTGTCTATGTAGATAGGGGACAGGTCCAACATCTTCTTAAGGCCCAGTCGGTCCACTGGACTCTTCGGATTGTCCTGAGGGGAAACCTATTGAGGGGAAACACAATTCATGGTTATATAAAGCATACAAACATTATTGAATCACTTCACATTAAGTGACTAAAACCTATTGGTTTCATTCTAGATGTACTTATTTAGTCCAATGCAAAGGCATACAGTGTCATAAATGTGTATTTGAGTTAGTGAGATCTCACCTGCTCTATGTTCATGTTGAGGTCTGCCAGCATCTCGCCTGAGTCAGGGAGCATCATGGTGGGGCGCACGGCGATGGTGGGTTTGGAGTAGGGCGAGGGCACGGTCACTCCTTGGCCCTCCTCCTCCTCACCCCCCAGACTGGTCTTCAGGGTACCACAGGGCACTGTGCTGCCACCGCTGGCACGGTGGGCGCTACGCGGATGGAAGCAGTTCTTACACGAGCCGGGTTTCCACACGTGTTCTGAAAACTCACCGCAGGCCGACATGTTTGTCTGAAACCTATAGCTGATGTCACTGGAGGTGGGAGATGGGATGAACCGGCATGGTTCGTAGTTGTACACAGAAGCCCGGTGTCACACGAAAGCCTGCAGAAATCAGAATGACAATGTGAATAGAGTTGTATTTACGGTGTCGATTCTCATGTTAAAGCACTGTTACTTATCTTATCTCCTTGAGTTAATCAATAACTATCCTAACACAAAGGAATGCTATTGAGAGCACACACAGTGTTTGAGCTGAGTTTCAGGGAGCTGAACATGACAGCGGAGGTTATGTACACGACAATTTAGTTCCCCAATAGGCAGCCCGATGGAAACATTTGACCTGCGGGTGATTTTATTTACATTATTGGACGTAAAAGACTGTGAAATCAGCTCATATTGATTTTGATTTAGGAAATCTGTTCCCAAGTATTCCCACTTATAAATAGAGGCATATGTGATAGTATCCCAATGTAATCAAGGTTTGAAATTATTCTGTTTTTGTCAAATACTATATCTGTTTGGGATTCTTGCGGTCAATTTGCAGTGTACAAATTATTTATAACTATTTTTCACCCCCCCCGACCATCCGCTCAAGGGAAAATCGGCCTGCGGCTGGATGTAATTGGGGACCCAGAGTTTAACGCGTTTCCTACACCTATTTGAACTCCAACAGATTTGTCAACCTGGATTCACAGATCCCCCTACTGGTACTCGCTGAGACAACAGTCAGACAACCGGTCTCCTTTCTAGATGTTTTTAACCCTCAACATTACACCATTCAGTTTTCTCTGTTGAATTACGAAATACGAGTTCATTCATATCAACGCAATAAAAATATAACTTTTAAGGAAAAGGTATTTTAGAGTTGGTTGTGGTGTTGCGCAATGATCAAAGCACTTGACACCCCACTGATGAAAACCAAAAGATGCAATACTCGGTTACGTCCTAACTAGCACCCTATTCCCTACATTGGTTAAAAGTAGTGCACTATGTAGGGTATAGGGTACCATTTTGGGACACAAACCTCCTCTCCTCAGCCCTTTCCTCTGCCTAACAGAACTAGCATTATGTCTGGTTCAGGAAGCACCACAGCTGTCTGACTGCAGGGTAAATTAGAATAGAAAGATGACAGTAAACACCTCATGAGCATGTTAACCAGAAGTTAACAGGACATATTCCATCATGGCTATTATTATTATTATTATTATTTATTTAGCAGACGCTCTTATCCAGAGCGACTTACAGGAGCAATTAGGGTTAAGTGCCTTGCTTAAGGGCACATCAGATTTTTCACCTAGTCGGCTCGGGGATTAGAACCAGCGACCTTTCGGTTACTGGCACAACGCTCTTACCCACTAAGCTACCTGCCGCTATGACATTGTAGCAACATTGATGTGTATTTCATTGGTTCCACAATAATATTCTATGGATTCAATTTTCCCAGTGATTCTAACAAATTACTTATGGCCAAATCCATCAAGTGTCTGAATTTGTGTGGTCATGTGGTGCCAGTAAAAGTTTAAACAATACCAGGCTTTAACCTCTTCGTGGTAAACTCAACAATCTCCACCACTATCACGCCACTCCAGATGCCTCTGAGCTCTGTCCTCGTTCCCAAGCTTCCTAAATTAGAGGGTCCTACTTTCTGTTGAGTCCACATGACCCCCAGGAACATAAAAGGCGTTTAGAATGCAGTCTCATGTTGTAGAACGCCTCAAACATCCCAGAGGTCAGAATGCCTGGAATGTGGAGAGGCGCAAGTGTCACACCACCACCCCAGCAGCAGTACCACCAGCAGCATCTCGAACACCTCTCCCTGTGTGAGTCATGTTAAAGACTGGAGGACGGTGAGAAAATCAACATGACTAGAGGGTTTGCCTGTCTTGGTTCTCCTGGGTTCTCCTCCCCTCTGTCTTCACACAGAGCTAAATACCTGGAGACAAGCCTTGGAAATGGCACACAGCAATACACACTACCCCACCCCCTAAAGTCAATAAGAAAGCAATACAGAGCATGTAGCCTTATATAAAAGCTGATGGAATAACACAGATTACTCATCTAATATCAAACAACACCAGAAACTGGAATAAGTGGGCGTGATTTATGGTATTGATTTTCTAGCTTTATAATATCTAGGGACCAACTATAGACTTGGGCTTTAGGAGGAGGGGAGTTTCTTGACTTAGTGAGATGCATGTTTACACCTACAGCATAATCTGCATTCCTTTGTTGTTTTTCTGACACAATAACTATCTGGAAAGCACCGGAAACAGCACTGATTGTTCTTTCAACTGTTTTTCCAATAGTATGAGTAATACATGTAGCCTATATTTAAATGTATGACTTATAGCTGTATGGCACATGGTCTACTTCTGAATCTTATCTTTTCCATTTTCTCATCAGCCTGGGTATCCATCTACAGTACATTCAGAAAGTATTCAGACCCCTTATTGAATATTTATGTAAATGTCAATTCAGTTTTTTATTTGTAATAACATCTGCTAAAATTGTCTAAAAACCTGTTTTTTGCTTTGTCATTATGGGGTATTGTGTGTAGATTGATGAGAGGGGGGGGGGACTATTGAATCCAAGGCTGTAAAGTAACAAAATGTGTAAAAAGTCAAGGGGTCTGAATACTTTCCGAATGCACTGTAACACCCAAAACAAAAACAAGAGAAGGAGTTTAATTTGAGGCAGATGTCAATTTCTTCAGCTCCATCACCTCTAGAAATGAACACGGCCAAATCCTTCCACAGATTCTGAGTGTAGCCTACCTCCTCCTTCCTCAGTAGAAATGACACTATTCTATGTAGGACTACTCCTGTACTCTGAGACTAACATCTATATACTAGTATGGTCAGACGGTCAAGAGTCATGACACAAATTCAAGTCTGGACTTTCTTAAATAAACAAAGTTCTGTCATATAGCTGTTAAGAATTTCAGAAGTGAAAATGGGGGGGGTGAAAAAGTGATCAGTGGTGCAAAGGTGACCTGCTGCATGGGTCTGGGTCAACTTTGTCCTCTCAAACTTTGTGGCATTCCGCCTCTTGGGAACATAATAAAAGCCATCTTTGTCTCTCTGTGAGTGTGTAATGAACTAGTGCTGCCTCTGAGCTGTAGCCTACCCCCTGACGTCTCGGCCTAGCATGCAATAACAGAACAGTGCCTGGAAGCCAATAACAGAACAGTGCCTGGAAGCCAATGACAGAACAGTGCCTGGAAGCCAATAACAGAACAGTGCCTGGAAGCCAATGACAGAACAGTGCCTGGAAGCCAATAACAGAACAGTGCCTGGAAGCCAATGACAGAACAGTGCCTGGAAGCCAATGACAGAACAGTGCCTGGAAGCCAATGACAGAACAGTGCCTGGAAGCCAATGACAGAACAGTGCCTGGAAGCCAATGACAGAACAGTGCCTGGAAGCCAATGACAGAACAGTGCCTGGAAGCCAATGACAGAACAGTGCCTGGAAGCCAATAACAGAACAGTGCCTGGAAGCCAATAACAGAACAGTGCCTGGAAGCCAATGACAGAACAGTGCCTGGAAGCCAATGACAGAACAGTGCCTGGAAGCCAATAACAGAACAGTGCCTGGAAGCCAATGACAGAACAGTGCCTGGAAGCCAATGACAGAACAGTGCCTGGAAGCCAATGACAGAACAGTGCCTGGAAGCCAATGACAGAACAGTGCCTGGAAGCCAATGACAGAACAGTGCCTGGAAGCCAATGACAGAACAGTGCCTGGAAGCCAATGACAGAACAGTGCCTGGAAGCCAATAACAGTACAGTGCCTGGGAGCCAATAACAGTACAGTGCCTGGGAGCCAATGACAGAACAGTGCCTGGAAGCCAATGACAGAACAGTGCCTGGAAGCCAATGACAGAACAGTGCCTGGAAGCCAATGACAGAACAGTGCCTGGAAGCCAATGACAGAACAGTGCCTGGAAGCCAATGACAGAACAGTGCCTGGAAGCCAATGACAGAACAGTGCCTGGAAGCCAATGACAGAACAGTGCCTGGAAGCCAATGACAGAACAGTGCCTGGAAGCCAATGACAGAACAGTGCCTGGAAGCCAATAACAGTACAGTGCCTGGAAGCCAATGACAGAACAGTGCCTGGAAGCCAATAACAGAACAGTGCCTGGAAGCCAATGACAGAACAGTGCCTGGAAGCCAATAACAGTACAGTGCGTGGAAGCCAATAACAGTACAGTGCGTGGAAGCCAATAACAGAACAGTGCCTGGAAGCCAATAACAGAACAGTGCCTGGAAGCCAATAACAGAACAGTGCCTGGAAGCCAATAACAGAACAGTGCCTGGAAGCCAATAACAGAACAGTGCCTGGAAGCCAATAACAGAACAGTGCCTGGAAGCCAATGACAGAACAGTGCCTGGAAGCCAATGACAGAACAGTGCCTGGAAGCCAATGACAGAACAGTGCCTGGAAGCCAATGACAGAACAGTGCCTGGAAGCCAATGACAGAACAGTGCCTGGAAGCCAATAACAGTACAGTGCCTGGAAGCCAATAACAGTACAGTGCCTGGAAGCCAATAACAGTACAGTGCCTGGAAGCCAATAACAGAACAGTGCCTGGAAGCCAATAACAGAACAGTGCCTGGAAGCCAATGACAGAACAGTGCCTGGAAGCCAATGACAGAACAGTGCCTGGAAGCCAATGACAGAACAGTGCCTGGAAGCCAATGACAGAACAGTGCCTGGAAGCCAATGACAGAACAGTGCCTGGAAGCCAATGACAGAACAGTGCGTGGAAGCCAATAACAGAACAGTGCCTGGAAGCCAATAACAGAACAGTGCCTGGAAGCCAATAACAGAACAGTGCCTGGAAGCCAATAACAGAACAGTGCCTGGAAGCCAATAACAGAACAGTGCCTGGAAGCCAATAACAGAACAGTGCCTGGAAGCCAATAACAGAACAGTGCCTGGAAGCCAATAACAGAACAGTGCCTGGAAGCCAATAACAGAACAGTGCCTGGAAGCCAA